TTAGTAACTTGCACAGAAAACTACAAGCAGCAACATAATAAAGCCAGTTTAAATTGTGTATCTGCAAGAGAATCTAAGCTCAGCAAAGAGGATGATCATGCATCTGCGTATGTCAACTGGGGCAAGTGCTCTCACGCAAAAAGCCTTCTTATAGACCAGCATCCGAAATTACTTCTTCTCTATGAAGTACTGTATCAGTGAAAAGTCTCCAAATCTGCTCTAGAGAAATGCGCTGAAGAAGGCAGAACTTTGCTAAGAGGTGGTGTTTTTTTCAGTTGTTTCTGCAATAGGGTGAGATGGGGTAGTACTGGGAGCAAAGACTACTCAATGCTTTGGACTGCTGAATGTTGACCATATCCTGTAAAAATGAGATACCAAATGCAGTTTGAAGTGAATCATAAAAATTAAGGTGGCATTTAGGCAGCAGACTCAACAGGTGGCAGGACATCTTGGATTAAAGAATCAGACAAATCTTAACAGTGAGATAAAGACACTATGTGAATGCTCATTTGACGACAAGTTGACTACGGCATCATAAACCAAGTATTATAGAGAAAAGGGCCCCGAGCACCTGGGTAGACATGTGAAAAACATCTAGTTTAAAAATACCACCGAGTGTGCATTAAACTATTTGCCAAAAATCCTCATGCTTATTTGCAAAAATTTACAGTCTCTGTTGTTTCGTGCTTTGGTAATCATTCCTCAACCAGCCTCAGTTCTTACACCCAGACATACAATTATTTCATTAACACATAATGATACTAGCATTAAAAAGCCAGTCAATGCTCTACACAGTGCAATTATGCTCTGTTTGTAAGTTGATGCTTTTGTTTGTATTTTTCATAGACCAGCACTTTCATGACAGCACTTCTGATCTCACAGAATGCTGCTGTCTCTGGATCAAACACCAATTTGACACACGTTAATCAAGAGATCCTTCAATCCAGATTTCCCCAATTCATGTTGAAAAGTACAGTGCTGTTCTGAGGAACGCTTCCTGAATTGGCTCACAATGACATCCCAAGGAAGTTTTCGTATTCCTCGTGTCTCCATTTTTCTAAATCCTATATAATACCTAAATAATATAAATCTAATGTATTCTCTTAGCCACAAGGAACACATGAAGACAAGAGTAATTTCCAGCAAATACTTCCTGAGATTTCCCTATTGTTCATGCTTCCTTCCCCTCAACATATGTGAAATACAGTCTTTTCTAACCACATTACAGAGTTAACCGAGAAGACCAAGACAGAGATGCATAACGTGCTCCCATTTTTTCGATTTTACAATGAAATAAAATTTAGCATTGTTTTTTGTTTAAAAGAGCAAACACGCCCACACCCCTAGATAAATAAGTTTTATACCACCAAAAGGTATAATTTTTATTAGGCTAAAATAAGCCTCAACTGGTCTGCAGTATTTACCAAACAATGGCAGAAGGCCATCTCAGAAGATGAATTCAGAATTCAGCTTCTTTTAAGACTGTCTTTTCTATTCAACGCATAACAAACAGTATTGATCAAACAGGTGAGTAAGACCCCAGACTTGGTACCATGATTTCATATGCAGTCTGGAGTTATAGATGTGTATTTTTAAACATGCCTTTTTAACAGTCTTTCAACAACCTGGCTGGCTGAGCACCAACAGCAATCCCTCCTAGATCCCTTGTCCTGAAACAGAGGAACATTTGCTTCTGTGGCAAAGAGGAAAGTTTTCCCATTGTTATCCACAGTCATAGATAGATTCATAGATCCCAAATCCATAGATTTTGAGTACGTACCAAAATAAATGCGGGGCTGCCTGGGGGTAGGGGGGGTGTCTGGGGAGTTCTTGTTGGTTTTGTTTTGGGGGTTTTATTCCTGCGTTTCCCTGTTACTCAGGGGAGTAAATGTTATAATTATCTAAATGAAAGATAGGTGTTATGGTATTCCTCAGTATAGCTATCCCTCTCCTACCAGTGCTGCTGGACCAGAATAAAATAAAATAAGGTATTCTTTGGTTTACATTACAGCTCCGCAATAATTCACAGAAGGCAAACATGAAATCATTGAGCAAAATTCCTTTTCCCCTCTCCTTCCCCTCACAAGATCTCATCCTAATCCTGCATCCTACTTGTGAACTGTTAAAAAAAATAACTGAACACTGTTCTTCAAAACCCAAGTGCAACAGGGCATCTTTCACCTTTGTTCTGTAACACACTTATATCTTTAATATAAAGAGCAGCCATACAACTTGAGAGACTCTTCTCTCGTATTTATGTAATTGAACCTTCTCCTAAGAGGTGTTGTCTTCTTGCTTGGTAATCAAAGACTATGACCATCCCAAGGAACCACAATGGAAGTACTTCATAGCACTAGAGCCCACTTCTTTTTGCAAGCATGACCACCATTTATCCCAATACACAAGCTAAAACAACATACGCAATTTCTTGTATACCATTGGATTTTTTGTATCCATCCCTAAACACACATTCCCTCCACCCCCGCAAACAGAAAACACATCTCAAAGAAAAGAAGTTATATGATCTTATTGCAGGAAAAATTACATTATCTTCATGTCAAAAATTAAGTCACTAGAAAGAAGACTCTCACCTCTCATTTGTTGGCCACTAGCCATCGCTAGTGCTGTACAGCAAGGAAGACTGGAGTTATTTGTCAGCACACCAAAACCTCACTAAATTTACCAAAAGCACTGATGTCTTCTGAAAGATCACCAAAGCAAATGAAGCACGGCTCAGCTTCAGAAGGAATCAAATAGCCACCTTCTGTTTCTCACCAATACAGATGCGCACATGTATTAGGTTTCACGTACAAACCAACCCACTTATAAGTACCCACACAAATTAAGGGGGGAAATTTTGCTTAAATCTATGCATGCATGTACTAATATTTTAATTGTGTCTCTACCACACGTGTACAGATGAGACTAACTTCAGCAAATACTACATACTTACCATGGCATAGAATAAAGTCAGAACATAATCAGCTTCATGAAAAGTGGTATCTTTCGAAAACATCAAAAAGAGATTAGCACAGAACAGTATTAAAACCCCAATTTTAGAAGCAATCTGGAGATTACAAAAAAACTGCCACCCCGTTCATTGATTTCCTGAAACTCTGAATACTTCATAACCATATCCAGAACCTATTTCTGGAATTGAAAACTGAACTGTCTTGTTTTTACAGCTGCTTTCTTCTTGAATCACTGAGCTGTTCAAAAGAAATCAGAAAGCAGAATACCAAAACCTATGGTGAGTGCCAAAGTGTCTCAAGCTTCTTTGAAAACCTTTATTCAAATGGCACGCATCTTCTATATTCATCTAATAGCGCTATGAAAAATCTTTTGGTTTTGCTTTCTAAGAAATGGGTCTAACTTGGCACATACAGAAAAAACACACTTTACCAGGAAAGGTTACATAAACTTTAAAAACATTTTAACCGCCTTAAAAAAAGAAATCTGGTTAAGCATTCCACCTTTCAGTTGATTCAATGCTCCTACAGGAAACAGATCTACATTCACAAACTATAATAATTTTTGATTTCAAATACGTATCATGCATCATGGTATATACTGAGAAGAAAGAATTTATGAATCCTAATAATCATCCATTTATATACATTCACACACACTGGGTACTTCAAAATAAACAGCATTCATTTGAATAAAAATATACTTCCAACAACAGAATTTCTCTATTAAATCCATGTTTATTGCTTAAGTTTTATCACAGTGGAGATTAAATTATGCTTAATCATCCGGTCAGTGCTTTTGTACCTTCTTCAATGCCAAAAAACCCACATTTAAACCAAGTCATTCATACACTCGAAGTCTTATTACCATCCCACCATTCATCGCCTCTGTGTGCTCCCTTAGTTGCCGTGAACTGCAAGATTGTAAAAAGGTATAGCTAATAGGCTTATTTATAATACCATTTTCTTCAAGTATTCAGAAAGCAGTACAAGTAGTTGTACTGTATATTAGAAACCTATCTGTACTGTTATTTATTGCTATAGGATAGAGGCTCCTGATGGAATGATAGTGAAATATTGCATCACTGTGTATGAAGATGATCTCAGCATCCTGTAATCATCACAACTCTTCCCATGTTAGTGAACAACACTAGGTAAATGGGTTTCTTCCCTTTCTCTTTCAGGCATGGGATTTCAAACTACAAATAAATAAAGCATACACTCACAACATGTGTAGTGCAAATTCCAAGTAAACAGAATGACATGGAAATAAACTCATAGTTGCCAACCCTGGTTCCGCAGAGCAGTTATGATTTTATGCCCAGCGCCCTGCATCCCCGCCCTCGGTGCACACCACCGCCAGCGTCCCATGTCGGCGACAATGATTGAAAGAGATTGTTGCAGGGAGGGGCCGTAGCAGGGGAAAGGGGAGATGGCCACCTCTGCAAACCTTGCGCTTGGGTGGCCAGGGTTCACCCCACGTGTCCCATCAGGCCTCGGACGGAAGGCTGGTCGTCCACCCGGAGAGCAGCCTCCTGTCCCACGTTGGAGAATTTGTATTGGCAACTATGTGAAACATGGATTGCGTGGCCCAGACTAAGAGAAGGTATTTTTTTCCAGGTACAACCATTGAAAGAGAACATCTACAACATTGCGATTTAGAAAGAACTTAATAATAATGAGAATTAATAGGAAAGACATTCAACTGTGGAGGGTGTTTGTTGGTTGTTTGGTTTTTTTAAACAAACCCCAAATAGTGGTTTGATTCTGCACAGCTCTGGGCCGTTACAAAACCTTCTGCATGAAGCACAGGGCTAGATCTCCTTGTTTTGTTCTTGTTGGTGGTTTCATTTATTTCTCTTAATTATGCAAATCTACTTCCCACACAGCCACATTTTAAACTGAAATGGAACTCCCTAATATTTTCATGGCATAAATTATATACGCAGAGAACAGCAAGAAGTAACACTTTGTATAAATTAAAAATTAACATATATTGTAGACTTGCTCAGGACCCTTTTCTCCAAAGTACTGGTAGTGAGCAGAAGAGTCATGCAGCTTATCAGTAAAAGGAGTACATATTTTTGCCATTTTTCTTCAGTGCTCATTTTAAGTTTTGGGTTTTTTAAATGTCTGTGTTCTCAGTCTGCAGCTTGCTATTCCTTGCACAAAGACTGGGAAAAATTATTTTTTTTTAAACAGCATTCTTACACAACATGTTGGACCTTCAACAGAGGAAACAGAGCTAGCTCTAAAGTTCTCTCAGCTAAAAGATGGATATATTAAAATAATAAAAAAATAAAAGAAAAACCTCTGCAAATAAAAAGAAACCTTTCCTCATTTGGGACGCACACATTTAGCTTTTAAAAACTGAAAATTCATAAATAAGATCATTGTATAACTTTAAGAGAATTAAGGCTTCTAAAAACTTCAGTGCCAAAATAACTTCTCTGCATCAGTATTAAGAATAAAATATTTTCCATTTTAGGTTGTGCTTGCTTTTTTTTTTTTTTTTTTTTTTTAAAGACTTTTCTTAGTTCCGTAGAATTTTGTCACATAATATTACATACTGAAGGGGAGTGTTAGAACTGCTTATTGAGGTTTTAAGTAGTTGTTAGACTAAGTTACAGCGATAAAATTCGATTACTGATCTGATTCATTACTACTTTACATAGGGCAGTTGGCTCATTTCACCTTTTTTTCATGCTTAATGTGGCCATTTCTTCTGTACTTGCCATTTGGTATCCCATTCTGGTAATGTCCATTAACAGCACTATGTTCGTCATTTGACCAAAGATGTTTGCTTTGTTTGTGGATAAATCTTGTTATCCTGACCAAAATATAATAAAGTAAGGCAGCACCCACTAATACAACAAAGGCAATATCCAGTAAGAAATACTGATATAAAGAGATGCTGTAAACAGCGGCACGTAGATGTTGGGCTCCGTTGTGACGGAGGATGTAATTAATCCAGTATACAGTCCGGTTAACAGGATGACCAGGCTGGTCTTTGTGAATCTCAGACAGCCTCTGAGCCCGCTGCCGGTAGCTGCGGGGAAGAAAAAGAAAGAAAAGGGAGAAAGGAAAAATCGTCGTCAGCGCTCTGAGCAATGCAAGCCTGCAAACATGTAAACATACTTAAGCCTCTTCAGATCAAACAGTGTATTACTGCAGGACTCTCGCAAACACCAGCATACAGAGGGACAGACACTGCAGATAATCTGTCTTAAAATCAGTCCTTACAGCTCACTGATGAAGAATGACTAGAACAGCAGACCTGTGTGTGACAAAAGGCAGAAATCCACCCTCCAGCAAAAGCGATGAAGAGCCAAGCTGACCTGCTGCCAGAGGAGAATCTTATCTAGTCCAAAATGAATCCTATCGAGTGAGACATTTGCCCTTCCCACTGTGAAGTGGCAACATACCCTGTCTAACACACCACCCTTGTATGTTATTGTGCAACTCAATTACTAGAGAAACACAGAACAAAGCAAGAAACTTGTTTTTGCTTGCACAACAGAGTATTTCCGCTTGGGTCCAGAGTTCAGCCGAAAACTTTGTGGTTTTTGTTTGGTTTTGGGTTTTTTTGTTGTTTTGTTTTGTTTTTCAACATGCCATCCCTGGTAGCCGATCAAGTCAAATTTCTTCTCTCCCCTCTCACTGCAGCTGCAGGGTTAACATATTATTTATGCAGGTCTTGCCTTCCTACTAAGGATAACTGCACAAAGGAAAGGTGATGCAACTGATGTTAATCGAGATCTCTTCAGGGACATTCCCCTTCGCTGCGGTTCTGCTCACTCCTTACAGGTTTCTCCTTCCCAAGGCAAGTGCCAAGTAAAGACTTAGCTCCCATGCAAGCAAGAAGTGCCAGCACCGTACTCCAAAACTAAAGTTAGCTCAATGCAATAAACCACCAGCTAACACGTCGTTGCTTTTAATTTGGAGATGGTCTGAACATCACAGATGTTTAAAATGGATTCGGAGCAAACTTGTAAAGTGACTCTTGTCGCACTTTAATATCCCTGAGCAAACTCGTTTGCTGGAATTAGAAAGAGTTATGAAACTCAGTTCATGGGCTTTTACTTACTCCACCTGAGTAACAAATAAGATTTACAAAGAACAGACTGCAGTCCTTATATTCATAACACTGTTAGAATATTGTCATTGCAAACACAAATGGCCTTCTTGACCATAACAGAGGTACTGCTGTCCAGAAGAGGAAGGTAATTTATCTTAGGACAAAATAGTCACTCTTTTTTTAATATATCCATTATTTTTAGCTAGAATCCAAACATGCCACCCTACAATCGTATCGGTGTATTTTGCTCCAGGCCTCTTAGGCAGCACAGACAGACTGCTAAATATGGAGTAATTATGACACAAAAAGAGATGTTGGTCTGCAATAAGGATTAAGTCAGGACAGTTTTGTTTCTATAACCTTTCTGCCCTTCACATGGCAACTGTTGCAAAAAGCAAATGAGACAATTGAGTTTTGGTAGGCTGAGCAAGGAGCTTAGTATCTACACAGAAGCCTGATCAGTTGAGTAATCTTGTGAAATGGGACAACCATCCAAAGACTTGCCCCAACTGTGCACACAAATAAATCTCAACATGCGGTTTTCTTCCCTTGCACAATGGATCTGTGCATGCATATTTAACTCCTAACAAGGACTTAAAATAGAAGCAAGAAACAATCACTCATTCCATACCTGGGATCATTAATAACTTTTACTAGGGCTTCATACAATTCGCTCTCAGTGATGGTCTTCCAGTTCAACAATATTCCCATGCCTTTGGCCTGCACACGAGTCATAGTATCGTAATGGTCTCCAAAAAGAGGAATCCCCACCACCGGGACCCCATGGTACATGGTTTCAAAAATGCTGTTCAAACCGCCGTGACTAAGAAAAGCTTTAATGTTAGAGTGACCTGAAAACAGAAGAGGCATGAAGATTAAAAAAAACCAAAAAACCCAACATTTACACCTCCTTAATGTAAAGTTACTGAAGCAGCTGGGTACCACGTTTCTATGGCTGCAATTCAGGAAGGCAAAGATGAACGCAACTTGTTCTGAAGTCCTCCTCCTTAAACACACCCTGCTGAAATTTCACATGCATTAGATTATTTCCTTATACACTAAGAGAGAGGGAATGTCCAACGCAAAGAAAATTCTCATATAAACGACTTGCATAAAATTATTAATGGAGTAATTATATACATTGTTTACTCCTGAGTAGCTGCAGGTGACTACTACAAACAGTTTAGCAGTACAAATGAGCCAGAGAGAGAGCATTTTTCCTCATTATTCATATGAAATACAAGCTATTTAATGACAGGACAACAGATGTTACATTCTCTCTAAAGCTTCACATGCCTTACTTCAGGCTAGCAAGATCTGAGAACGATGGTAACAGCCTTATGTAATAGAAAAATGAGACTGCCTCAGAGCAATTTAGTAACCAAAACAAATCTACCTGCTTTAAGTCATTTGCCTAATCACTACATTATGATAAATAGTCTAGCTGACATGCACACACACATCCTTAACGTGTTCATCAGCGCCCATCATAGCACTGGAGCTGTTTGCAAACACACCGACATCCAGGTATCCCAGACACAGCCATACATATTCTGTGGCCCCTCTGATCTGCAGTGTATTCAGCTACGCTTTGACAGGGAAGGAAGGGGAAAAAAAAACCCAAGATACATAGACTCTAACAGTCTTTACCAAAAGATGGAAGAATACCATGTTTCATCTCCACACCTGAGAACTTGGAGTACCTCAGGTTAGTTAAACAGAAAGGTTATCATCAGTTTGCAACACGTGTTCCATTAGAGCTTTGTTTGGAGAAAAATAAATAAATGTGTATATATACAGCAGTATGTACAGACCCTTAAGACTTGTTTCCATGCAATGCGAACAAATTTCGTATGCTCAGCTTTATGAGTCTTCCATGAAGAGACCAGTGAACACCATACCATGCTTTTTCATAACAGAAAAATTAAGAGTTACAATCATCAGTTCCCTAAAATAGCAGATTCAAGAAAGCTTCTACTTATTTATCTTTAATAATTATTTTTTCTCCAACTGCATAGCTTTCATGGTACAGAAGACACTTGTCAAAAAATTTTCCCATTTTTTAGGCCAAACAGGTTTTGTAATAACTACGTCCCTCAACCCTATTAACTTAAGGAAAAAATGGAGTTAGTACCAGAGAAAGATAGTCAACATCAGAAAGGTGTTCGATTTCATCATTTTGAAATTCTGATTAATTCTATATTATTTTTCTATGACTTCCATTGCAGAAACTATCATAGCTTTGTAATGACTGCTAATTCAGTAGAATATTGTTGGAAGAGCAACCTGAACTCAAGCGAGAATAAGCAACATATGATCAAAATAGATACTCACCAAGAAGGTCATTCTGTGGTAACCATTCTATAAGCTTCGTATTGTTGCCTAAATTCCTTGGTTTGCTTCCCGAAAACCTAAGACAATAAAATCAAATGGAAGCTGAGTTATCAAGACCACCAAAATCAGTGAACTCAAACCAGATAATTAAACCAAATGATCCATGAGCCCTAAGCAGATTTCCAGTTACCTGGGGATACTGTTTGCTCACTACTACAAGAATACAAAATAGTCTCAACCAAAATGTTGTAAATACCTAATACTTTCCAACTTCATGTTTTGATCATTCCGGTTCCTCACAGTCTAGCTTGAAATGCAGTGTTTTAACATAAACGGCACCATAGTTCCTTCTCAAAGCATATATAACTTTTACCACTGTGACTGGCCAGGGGTTTTACAACCTCACTATGGTTCCGAGTTCTTTGCTTTACTGAAAGCTCTGGCTGGTACTAGATAAATAACCACTAGGAACATCCCATCAGCACACAAATAATAAACCCTATCATCAACACAAGGCATTCCCTTTCAGTTGGCCAGTTCTCTGTAGCTCTAATTGACACTGTCTTATTTTAAAAGGAGTTACTAATATCAGCAAGGGAAAGGCTGACAGCTCAGCTTAAGAGGCAAGAAGCTATTGATGAAAAGTTTGGGATCAGACTGAGACAAGTGTATTTTTCTTATTTGTCAGTTTCCTGAAACCCAGTGGCAACACCTTGCTCACCTGAGGTTGCTGGAATAGTTCAGCCCATAAAATACAGGCTCAAAGTACAAACTGATTTACATATTAATGTTACATACAGTTAATATAGAAAGTTAAATACATTCTAAACAGAAAAGAAAGAGGGGAAAAATTAACAACGACTACTAGAGGATAGAGCTGTTTTGTGACAGCTCCATTGAACGACTTAAAAATATTCTGGTTATTAGAGAGCATTAGAACTACAACTTCATAAAGGATCACCAACATATTCCCAATTAAGCAAGCCATACATCTTTACAACTGGCCTGTACGTTCTGTATGTTGAAAAAAGCTTACGTTATTCACGCTAAGTTATATAAAAGCAAATAAACTATGTTACTGGTTTTGGCTCTAAGTAGTACTCCATAATGAGAAGCATATAAAGAACCACAAAGATTTCCTTGATGTGGCATCATGACACACGACTGACAAGCAGTACTACCTTGCTCATTTTCAGAAACGTCTAGTATAAAAACCACCTGCATCCAACACAAGCCACAGGTCAATGATCTTGACTACATCTACCAAAGGTTCTGTGCCACAGACTGAAGAATTTCCATTTTCCTGTTCATTAGTGGGGCTCACTATTTCGATTACACACAGCAGTGAAAACAGTCCCTACGAGATGGTGGGGAACTGGCTGCTAAATAGACTGCTAACACTACTCCGAAAGTGCAGCAAGGAGAGTGGCCATACATTGTAAGACACTGATTATTTGGAAACCAATCGTTCACATTAACCTCTGAATTATATTGCAGAGCAACGCTCCATGTGAGGAAGAGCTGACTAAGGAGTTCTTGGATTTTTACAGCAAGTAGAGCGCACCACTCAAGATGCTTTTAGAGATTAGAAAGCTTATTACTGATTTTTACTCCTGCAGATTTTTCATCCTCCAATTTCTTACAGAAAAAGACAAGTGAGAAGAGCCATTACGAAAGTCTATGTTTACAGATAAAAGAGAAGGGGCCTGAAAAAGCACGGAAAAAGAACAGAAAGAAAACCTAGGATTAAATCAAGAGGATGTCATTCTTGCTCCCTAGGGTGGCTTCTTTATCAAAAATGACGACAGTATGTCACAAGTGTTATAACCCCAGACTCTCTTTTAACTGTCCCAAATCCTTCTAGGATATACACTCAGCACAGGAGTATAACCTAAGCCTTATTCTGCCACAAAATCATTGCTCCTCCTTATTACCAGGGGACTGCAACATTTCCACAAAGAGCATCTTTCAAAAGAGTCAGGGCCTCTGTGCCACCCAGACTGTCTCAATTTCAGCTTCCGCAACTCTAGATGAAGCTGGCACACTAGGCAATGAGCATGCTTCAAATCACCCCGAGTACAGCTATCATTGCTCTTACCTCCAAATAACTCTCTGAGGCAGTCTCGCCAAAGCATGTGCCAACTTATTTGCTATATCTTCTGAGAGGTATTTCACTCCAGCTCCAAATGAGACGAGGACAAAGCCATTTTCTTTAGCACCATTCACCCACGTTTGGAGATCCTGTTAAAGCGAAAATTTATACTGAGCACCATAGAGGAATAGGTAAACCACAGAAACAGATAACATAAACACTGCTTAGCAATAACAGTTGCTGGTCCTGATGTTATTTCACAAGCCAAGTCTCAAGCAATAAACTTTTTAGCAGTTAGAGTGCAATGACTCGATCCAGAATCCATGGTACAGGCTATGAGCAGCAAAATCCTTCCGGGTTTGTTTTAGCTTCCGTATTAACAACCAGTTTCATAAGACAATTTGTCCTTTCTTAACTGATCGGTTGGCACACATTCACGTGTTAACACATTACATTTTAACTCGGAAAATTATAATTAGAACTCTCTCATAGTATTAGTCTGGAAGTAGAGCACAGGAAATACATGAGTGAAGTCTGGGACTCAACTGTGTGATTTCTAGCCTTAAAGAAAGTGAGGGTACTTCAAAAGCCTTGTTTTTTCTTTCATTTATGTAAAAATAATAAACACAACCTGAAAGAAGTCAGAGCTTCAAAAAACACAGTTTTCCCTGCTCCAATATCTCTAGGAGCAAGGAACAATACTGCACCTGTATGGCAACTACAGGGTCGATGTCCCTCTTTCCTTGGCTCTATGTACTTGATCTTAGACCTAACTGTGTGCCTCTTCCCCGGCAAGGTACCAGCATTACATTAAATGTATATACATGTGTAACAAAAGCCAAAGCCCTTTATATCCTTAGGCTCATCCTCCTCCTCTAATTACTCTGAAATCACGCCTCTTGCAATGCAGTTTTTGCTGACCCTCTTGATTCAAGGGTTGCCTCAACTTAGGCAAAGAAGGCAACAATGCTGAAAGCAGAGGTCTGCAGTACTGTGCTGCTCAGGAGTACTCTGAAAGCAGAACCAACATCAATCTCCTGGGGGTAACCTGATGGCCACATTGTGAGATTCAAGTTCTGAGGCAGCAGCTTTTACAGAAGGTCACCCTGCAATGCTTCTTCTGCAGCAGAGTCAGGTCCCCTGCCTTCTGCTACACAGGACTTCGGGGCTTTCACCCTTAGAGATGCTCAGCCCACACGTGGTCACCGGCAGGAGCGCCCTATGCACAACCTCGGCTGGTCCGGGGTTTCATTGCACTGAACACCTCAGTGCCTTGGGACTGGAGAGAAGAAAAAAGAAAAAAAAAAAAGAAAAAGCAAGAGTCACTTGCATTTTCATAAAGGAGGATCCATGGAATGGGCTGCTCACCCTCCGTCTGGAGGGTGACGAAGCAAATAATCCCGGAGGTCATTTCCAGACATATTAAGGACAACATGAATGGAGGACTCAGCATGGACTTAGCACTGAAACAGGCTGCCCAGGAAAGTGGTGGAGTCACTATGACTGGAGGTGTTCAAAAAACATATAGACGTGGCACTTCAGGACATCGTTTGGTGGGCACTGTGGTGCTGGGTTGACAGAGGGACCTGGTGATCTTAAAGGTCTTTCTCAACCTTAATGATCCTATGATTTATGGAGGCAAAAAAAAATAAAAAATCAGCTTGATCAACCCAACAGCCTTCTACAGCAAGAAAACTGGCTCAGTTAATGAGTTGAGACCAGTGGATGTTATTTACCTTGATTTGAGTAAGGCTTTCAGCACTTCCTCCCACTACAGCCTCACAGACAAACTGATGAGGCACCGGCTACACAAATGGACAGTGAGGTGGGACTTAAAACGGGCTAAACTGTGGGGCCCAAATGGTTGCGATCAGTGGCACAAAGTCCACTGTTTGCTTTTTAATAACAACAAATAACAGGATAGCTGGCACTACTGCTCAAGTATTTCTCATTCAGCATCGGGAAGTCCCACCTGCGACTACTTATGCTTGGTCAGATACGTGGTTTCTGCTGCTAGAAGAGCAGTCTGTTCCAGATAAGGAACAGCTCCCAACACTACTGCTACCGCTCCTCTGTGCTTAATTAGAAATTCTGTGAGACTTCAGAACTCTGATTTATACAGAATGAGAATTATACATCATTATGTAAACATAGAGGAGGTATAAAATATTTCCTTGTACTGGAATTTCTAAAATAGCATTCAAAAATCCCCATGTATAACAACAAATAGCTACTAAGTACTTAGAATTTTATGTAGAAAAGAAAGGAACTTCACTATGTACCATGGAATTAGAGTCACTCTACAAACAGGCTTTTGCATTTTATTGTTGTGCAATAGCAAAGCAACCTGCTTCATGTTATTATGGCTGATGTCATAGTCAAACCTCTGTAACTCTTCCCTTTGAAGGTAATTCTACCACTTCAGTGGAACATAACATGTACAAAGGGGAACTCAGAATACTGACAGGCCAAACAAGATCCTGCCATCAGGCTCAAAAGATGCAATTTGTTTGTCATATTAAATGGTATTATATAGAAAAACAAAAATGAACAGAATACAAACAGCTTCATTTTGTATGAACTGAAGCTTATCATCCGAATGCTTCCTCTCCTGACCCACTTTCTAAGTGTGGCAACACACAACTGCACACTCACAAGCTCTCAAAGTGGGATCCAAGCAACAGAAGTTTGCATGGAAAGATTTTGATTAACCTCAGGTATCAGGCATGCTTCCCCTGCAGACAGGTCCACACAAGGAAGAGACAAATAAAAGGAGATTGGTCATGCTCTGAGTTGGCCAGGTGCAAATCAGCTGTGATCCAACAGGCACACAACAATTAACAAAATTGCAACAGGCAGCAACTTAGCTCAGACAGAACTACAGCTACCATGAGCTTACAGACCAGAGCTGGATGATGCCTGGCCAACCCAAATCAGAAGCAAAGGAACTTTAAGTTGTCGTGGGGGTTTCTTTTAGGGTGCTAAATTGGAAAGACTTTGATTTTGATTCCTCACACAGTCAGGGTCAGAACTGTCCTGTGCCAGTCCCAAGAATATCCAGAAGTTTCAGCTCAGCTTGTCATATTTTGACATCAACTGGAAGGTTCTTTTCCTCCCCCACTCAAATTTGTCCAAATTTTACTTAAGCTTTACATCATGCTGGTAGCAAGAGGAATTGCTTGCCTGCCTTCTGATCTGCAGCCCATTTCCAACCTGCTTCCCCAAAGGGGTGCTGGAGATCAGTACCATGCATGGGCTGCAGAAAATGAACTACAGACTTGTCAGGTCTAGGGTTCTCCTTGAATATATCTGTGTAATTCCTGGCATAACACAGCCTTAATTAAGCATTGCTAAAAATGCAAAAGTTAAGTAAAAATGAGGAAACTAAGAACAGGGGACTTGGATTGCCTCCTTGTAGAGCTCCCCAACTTCATGACCTGGAGGAATCCATTATTCTCAGGTTCCTTTAACTTCTTATATTTATTTCTTCCTACAGTTTTTTAGTACAGACTTTCTAAACTGAAGATTTAGCAAAACTGAATCCAACTAAGTGGCTTTCATAAGTCTTTGGTTGCAAGATAGATCTGAACATCCTGGTACAATTAGCTGGGCCATGGCACAAACGCTCAGTATTTTCTTGTACGTCACCCTGTTCTTTATGTGGTGATACAGAAGGTATAGAAGCAATACAGTGGATAAAAAGCAGGCTATGATCTTTGCACGTGAAAGACTAAATACTTCATCAGCATTATTACTAAGGCTATGTACATCATTGAATTGCCACATATACGTTCCTAATGTTTAGTTTAGGAAGTGTACCACAGCAACTGGGCTGCAGGACAAGCAGGGCAAAATACAAGCTTTGAGCAAAAACCTGTGTCATGGAAGAGAACACACTGATGCCACAGCACAATTCTGTTTGCCCACAATTTCAGCCCATCTAGCCACCATAGCCTTTAGTCACCTTCCTACCTTTCCATTCATTAAGGCCATATTAGCCCTAACACCCCAAGTACCAGCCTCAATGAAACCACCACTCCAATGCCGTACGCTAAAATGTTCAGAGACACCTAGGCTCATCCCTTATGAATTCACTCCCTTTCTTTTTCTTCAATCCACTTACACATTTGACCTCCATCACATTCCGTCTTCCCGATCTAATTACATACTGTATGAAAACACACCGAGTCAGGATGAGTCATTAAAGCTGCCTTCATCAAAAGCGGTGTTCCCTGTTCAGGCAGCATTTTACATCTCCTTGCTTACAGCAGGAAAGCGACCTCCTTTTGTCCAGTTTAAATAATGTTCAGGTTCACTGTAAATTCAGTGCAATTTTTTTTAGTGTAAAGAAAGGATACTTAATATTTGAAATTACAACTTTTGAGGTCAAAACCTACAATAAAGGTCTGGGGAGCGGGGCTAGTACATGACGAGCTGCATTACTAAGCCTTTCTCAAACTCTTCTTCAAACTTCAACTGAACACAGAAGTGAGAAGGAAACACCTTTGACTTTTGCAGTTAATTCAAATTTTACATACACATCGCAAAGACAACCACTTCATTAAATGGCTCTCTCTTTCAGTGACTGTAATAGAGCACCTGATCACTTCTTTCCCCCAAACATTAAGTATTTTCAGTTTTTATTGTGTAGAAGGAAAAACTCTTCCCTCAATTATCTGAAGTCCTATCACAGCCAGCAGACAACATTGCTTCGCTGAGGCTACCCTGCGAACTTGACAAACTGACCAGCAGCTTACAGAGACCTGGCTTTCCCCTTCCAAACCAGGAATCAAACCTCAAACAATTACAACCCCCAAACCTTGATCAACTTGGAAGCAAAAGTTCCAATAGAATTTCTGAAAAAAAAAAAACCTTAGAACAGGCACTCACACAACTTGTAGTTGACGCATTACAAATGTAATCATTCTTCTTTGAAAGGTCACATTGAAAACAAGTTGACATTAATGAAGTATTAAGCTGGAGACACAGGTGTATATTGGGATTTTCCAGAAATTTTAAGACAAACACACAGCTGAAAAGTCTGGGATTGGAGATATATTCACAAAACTGACTTGAGCGAGGGAGGCTGTTTTCTCCAGGCTATCTCAACAGTCAGCGGAGGCACTCACCCAAAGGGTAAGTCTGAGCA